CAATTGCAGATAGATCTACCATGTGACCCAGCTATCCCACTGCTGGGACTATACCCAGAGGAATGGAAATCATCAAGTCGAAGGTATACCTGTTCCCCAATGTTCATTGCAGCACTCTTTACCATAGTCAAGAGTTGGAACCAGCCCAAATGTCCATCAGTGGATGAGTGGATATGGAAATTGTGGTATATCTACACAATGGAATACTACTCAGCTATAAAAATGAATGAAATACTGCCATTTGCAACAACATGGATGGACCTTGAGAGAATTATATTAAGTGAAACAAGTCAGGCACAGAAAGAGAAATACCACATGTTCTCACTTATTGGTGGGAGCTAAAAATAAATAAATAAATTCACACACACACACACACACACACACACACACACAAAATCCGGGGGTCGGGGGGGGGGGGGAAGAAAAAAAAATTAAAAGAACCATTTTCTCATTTATTTGTAGAAATGATTAAAATTGAGCATTTCACCTGTGTCCGAGAAGCTGGTTTTCCTTTGGTATCAGTGGAAAATTTGCCTTTATTACTAATACGTGCTGCCTGCTCTTTACAGAAATTTATGTGTCTATCAGCTGCATTTTCATTGAATCTCCTCTGGCAATATGGACATTGGATATAATCTAAAACAGATAAAAACAGAAACAGATTAATAACATAATATTTGAAATAGACATAAAGAATCTTAAGTTTTTATGAACAGTAACTCAAGACGTATAATAACATCTTATAGGCAAACACTCCCATTTCCTTATAATCACTCAGCCTGACTTGCCTAAACTTAATACAAAGACTTTTAAGAAAAATGTTTGCTAGTACATGATAAATTCCAATTCTCTCCTATCTTTAAATCAAATTTGAGGAGGAATAAAAAGATAAATCCTCAGTAAAAAAGATTGAATAGTAGAGGGAAAATGTTATTTCTTTTTTGCCTCTATTATGCCATGTTTTCATAATGTATATATATTTTTATATGGCAGACTAGTTGAGCAGTAATAACATATAACACTAAAATACATTTTAAAATATGGACTCATCTATTAAAATCTTTTATTTAAGTTAGAGGAAAACTGTCAAGAAATAGTTTAATAAACTTTAAACAGTGTTACTTTCTCTTTGAGGTCCCAACAGATGGAAGTGATAAAAATATACCTCACTAACACAATTAATTCAAATTTAGGAAACAGCAAATGTTCCCAAGATAAAGTATTCTTCCCAAATGCAAAGTATACTGTAAATTTTTTTTTAATTAAATCTTGAAATTATCCCAGAACCAAATCTTGTAGCATTGTAAAAGATCTCAACCAAATGAGACACTGGAATAGACATAAAACTTCAGCAGTGTCAAAAAAAAAAAAAAAAAGAAATCTTAACCTATTGCAACAATTTTACTTTTTGATAGGGAGTTTGCAGAATTTACATTCATCTGAAACTCAGAAATTTCTCCTGCTTACGAGTGGAGCACATCTTAAACCTCTAATAACAAAGAAGTTGTTTTTGTCAGGCCCAAAAGATTAAAAAATGCCTAAGCCCAAATTATCCTGAAGAACTGGCATTCTCTCTAACTTATGTACACATGACAAATGTAGCTATACAGAGTAAGATGCAATATCTAAATATCTCCAAAGCAGAGAAAAAACTCAAGTTCATGGGGAAAATAAGGTAGTATTAGAAGAGACCCAAGACTAGTAGAAGCATCCCTGAAACATTCACAGAATTAAAGTTAATCACTAATAGATGAGAACAGGGGTTGGCAAACTACAGCCTATGAGCCAAATCCAGCCTGAGTGTTGTCCGTTTTGATAAAGTTTTATGGGAATTCAATCACTTACATATTGTCTATGGTTATTTGTTGCAGCAGAGACAGAGTTGCGTAGCTGCTACAGAGACCTTATGGCCTACAAAGATCAAGATATTTCATACCTGGCCCTTTACAGAAATAGTTTATCAGACTCTCATCTACAATAGAGTGTTAAAAATGATCATATCGAGATTTGCTAAAGAATTTTCTCTTTGCTAGGAAATAAACACCAATCTAGAGTACTAACATAATTTTGAAGTGACTAACTTGTAATATTAAAATAACAACCTCTTTAAGCTGTTCTAATAACCAGTGTTTAAGTGTCAACTGTGCTATTTTATATTCTAAGTCTTTCAGTATCTCAGTATTTCATACAGGGCTGCCAGTCTTGCATTGTTTTTGTTAACAATGAACCAAGCAACATTTACCTGCCCAATGAAGAAAATATAATAACACAGAAATTTAAGCTACAATTTAGGTGTATCAGTCTATAGTATACTTTGCCCACATGAATTGTATATTTTAGAAATAATATGATGATTTTTTTTTTCCTTCCCTGATGAGAAGATGCCAAAGAACCAGGCAACATAAGTATATAAATCCTACTGACTACAATACACAGTGAGCATGGTTAAATATTTCCTGGAATATTAACATTTACTATGATTTTTAAAATACTGTACTGCTTTATGTTTAAATAAAAGGACTGAAATAGAAAGATAATACACGTCTATGTTCTCCATTGATGCACCTTTATAAGTCTAGATGCCTGAATTATCACCATTATTTTATTCCAAAGCATTTAAATATTATGCATCATCAGGTTCCATTACTATAAATTAAGCTTAATGAGTTAAAATTTATAAAAATTCTATCATTTTTCTCTCCACATGAACATTCTGGTCAACGATATTCTATATACCAGGATCATAAGAAGGTGGAGGAGGAGGAGGAAGTTTGCCACCCTCTTTAAGTGCCTGATCAAGGCCTTTAGCTGCTCTTATGGTGGCAATGAATTCTTCATGTTTTCTTCTCCAATTAGATTGTTTCTTTGGTGGTTCTGGCTATAAACAAATAGAAAAAAAAGCAGTATCAAAATTTTTTTTAGTAAATTGAAATAAGATGAGGTAATGTCATATCATTTTAAATGTTCTCTTTTCAGGAGTCCTTAAATAATCTCCTTCCCAAGTTTACAATTTTAAAAAGAAGCTATGCAATTGCACTGCATGCAATTTTTTTAATGCAATTCCAATTGTGACATACAGTGCTAAATTGCCTTCTTGTAAGTGTTACATTCATTAATGCTCCTGTCAAGAGTATATTTTCCTGTTTTCCCATAGACCCTCAAAGAGTATGTTATCAAACTTTCAGATTTTTAACTCATAAGAGGTGAAAAACAGTCCTCTCTCTGAGGACTTAATTGTATTTTATCTTACAATAAGTGAGATTGAGCATCTTTTCAAATCGTTAAAAACCATTTATATTTTCTTTTCTGTAAACTATTTCCTGGTCAACTCATTTGTTGAGTTACTGGCCAATTTTGTAACAATTTCTAGTAATTCATTATAGGAGACTATCCCTTCTCTCCTACGATTTGTGTATCTTTTGACTTTGCCTGTGTGTCTTTTGGTAAGCACAACTGTTTTTTAAATGTAGTTTATTTTACTGATCTTTTCTTTTATAGTCTCTGGATTTTCAGTCACAGTTAGCTAGGTCCAACCTCACACCAAGGTAAAATGAAATTCTCCCAATGTTTCCATCTAGAACATTCATGGTTTCATTTTTTAAACTGTAAATCTTTTATTCATTTAGAATTTATCCTGGCTATGATATGGCATATGAATTTAAATTTATTTTTTGTTTTTGAACTTGGCTATGCAGATGTCCCATCATCTTTTATTGACTTTTCCCCCTACAGAAACTGAGATAAAATCTTTACCATATACTAAATTCCCTTCTGGATTTGGGCCTATTTCTGAACTTTCTCTATATTCCATTATTCTGACTACCCTTGAGTCAGTACCAGTGTTTTAAATATTGAGACTTTATATTTTAATATCTGATAGGGTAATCTTATTTTAATCTGCTTCTTTTTCAATCTTTTCCTGGCTACTCCAGTATGTATATTTTTCCATGTGAACTTCAGAATCAGCCTTTCTAATTTAAAATATATATATTTTAACTGAAAAAATTAAACATTACATTCATAAACAACTTAGGGAACTTAAAATCTTTATGTTGAATCTAATCTACACAAGAACATGAGATATACCATGTATTCCCATTTGAAGAAGTGTTCATTTGTATCTTTCAATAGTTTTTTAGAATATTCTTTATGGAAATCTTGTATCTTTAGTATCAGATTTATTCCTAAATATTTTATATTTTGTGTTCTTTTATATAGGGTCTTATTTTCATTTTTATGTTTTAAGGGTCTGTTTGTTGAATATATGACAGTAATTTCTGTACAGTAACATTATTCCACATTACTTCACCTTTCTCTTACTGTCTGTAATAATTTTTCAGTTGATTAACTTGTGTTTTCCAGGTACATCGTATCTCCAAATAACGATAGTTTTACCTACTCTTTTCCAGTCTCTATACATCCAATTTCTTTTTCTTATCTATCCATATCAGCTGGCACTTACTGTACAGGCTGGAGGTTAATCTTGTTCCTGACTTTAATGGAACTACCTCTAATGTCTTCCAAAAAACATAATACTGGCTAATGTACTACAGACTTTTATTTTGTTACATGATTAAAATATCCAACTATTCCTATTATGCCTTTATATTTAAAATCAAGAATATGTGCCAAATCAGCAAAATCAAAAGATGATTCTTTAAAAACACTAACAAGGGATATGGAGATCCTATCAAGATGGTGGAATAGACGGTCCGCAGTGTCACTCTCTCCCACAAATCAACCAAATTTACAACTTTAAAAATGTAACATCAGGGCCAAGCCTGTGGCGCACTCGGGAGAGTGTGGCACTGGGAGCGCAGCAGCGCTCCCGCCGCGGGTTCGGATCCTATATAGGGATGACTGGTGTGCTCATGTGCGGCCCGTCTCAAAAAGGACAAAAAAAAAAAAAAAAATGTAACATCAGCCAAGCGGGGGTAACTGGAGCTCAGGGGAAGAGGAGCAGAGACCTACGGAGTTCATGAAGGTGGGAGAAACTACAAAGAGAAAGAAAAAGCTGCTCTGAGCATTTCGGGCTGCAGCTGCTTTAAGGCTCCAGCTGATGAGCACATGGAGCAGGAGCCGGCAGAAGCCACAGCTGTGCCCTTCAGATGGAGTTACTTGGAGGCAGCAGGGGGGAAGAGGGCCTTGGAGACCCCCAGGATAGCAAGACCGCTAATAGGGTTCACGTGGACTCACGCAGGAGCGAAGAGCCAGAACAACTAAAAAAAGGGAGCCACTCAGAGGCTGGTGAGTCATCACAAGGGACCAGCACAGGGCCCGTCCCATGGGAAGTGTTTGGGGCATGGGTGGTGGGGGAGACAGGCCCACCAGGAGAACACTGGGACACAGCAAGGACAGCTGATCTGCCCCCCAATCAGCACAGGACCACTCAGAGGAAACTGGTCAGTAATGCAGAATTGCATGGGGTGCAGTTTGATGGAAAAACTCAGGCCCAGATCAGAGATTCTACAGAACACAGATCCACCGGGTCTCTGGAGAGCCGGAAGTACCTGTAAGGTCAACCATTAAACCCTGAGCTGTACAAAAAGCCTTCCCTAGGGAAACAGCAGCAAAGCAGCAATTTAAACAACCACACAGCTCAAATACTTATTCGCACAGGAAGTTCCCCCATGTTAGAAGCAAAGGACAAAAAATTAGTTCTGGCCCAGGCACACCACCAGCACCTTGGAGCCTGCCTGGGAACTGAAGACTTGGATCTGGGGACCAGACCCCACTCCCACTTCCAGGCAAACTACACCAGTGCCTCGGGGCCACCCTGGGGACCTGAAGCATGGAGAAGGGGACTGGACACCCCTCCCACAACCAGGCACACCACGCCAGCACCTTAGGGCCTGCCCAGGGACCCAAGGCAAAGAGAAAGGGACCGGACCTCTCTCCCACAACCAGGCACACTGAGCCAGCGCCTTGGGGCCCACCCAGGGACCTGGGGTATGGAGTCAGGGACTTGACCTCTCTCTCACAACCAGGCACAACATGCCAGCAACTCGGAGCCTACCCAGTGACCCGGGGCAAGGAGAAGGAGAATGGTCCTTTCTCCCACAACCAGGCACACCGCACCAGTTCTTCAGGGCCCGCCCGGAGAACCGAGGTATGGAGAAGGGGACTGGACCTCGCTCCCACAACAAGGCACACCAAGCCAGCATCTCAGGGCCTGCCCATGGTCCCAGGGCAAGGAGAAGGGGACCAGGCCACCCTCCTACAACCAGGCACACCAAGCCAGCGCCTTGGGTCCCACCCAGTGACCCAAGGCATGGAGCCAGGAACCAGACCCTCCTCCTACAGCAAGGCACATCACACCAGTACCTTGGGGCCCACCCAGGGACCCGAGGCAAGGAGGAGGGGTCTGGAACTCTCTTCCACAACCAGGGACACTGTGCCAGCACCTCGGGGCCCACCTGGGTACCCAAGGCATGGAAAAGGGGACTGGACCCTCATCCCACAACCAGGCACACTGTGCCAGTAACTCAGGGCCCGCCCAGGGACCTGAGACATGGAGAAGGGGACTGGACCCCTCTCCCACAACCAGGCACATGGCGCCAGTGCCTTGGGGCCTGCCCAGGGACCAGAGGCATGGAGAAGGGGACCAAACACACCCCCCAACCAGGCATACCACCAGTGCCCAGGAGCATGCTAAAAACGGCACCTCCACGTGGGTGGCCCACCACAGCCACCACAATAACCATGGCTGCTGCAAAAGTGGCTAGACGCCACAGCCACCACGTAGATGGTCTGCCAACCACTGGAGTGCATTCACACAAGAAGAGTTACCAGCAGAGACAAAGAAAAGAAGAGGATGTCTCTTTCCACAAAACCCATTTCAGAGTGACAGAAGAAGCATCTGCTCTATGATAATATTGGGGGACCTGATCACATCTCTCAGCATTGGACAGATCATCTCGGCAAGAAGTTAACAGAGTAACCATTATTCTTTCAGAAGGAGAGAAGAAACCTAGGGCAATTAGAGGGGGGAGGGGAGGGAATGGGGGAAGGAGAGAGGTTGGACAAGGGGCATAAAGAATAATTATGATTTGTAACAATATATATGCTAGTAATATTGATTTAATCAACATATCTCAATGTTCAACACCAAAAATATGTGTAATTGATTTTGATTCAATAAATAAAATAAAAATAAAAAATAAAAAAAAAATAAAAACACTAACAAGGCAAGACAACTCAAGGAAAAAGAGAACACAAATTACCAAGGAATGGAAAATAATATATGACAGAATTATTACAAACATAAGAGAATAAGATATTATAAAGAAACTTTATGCCAATAAATTTGATGATTAAGATGAAAAGTGCAATTTCCTTGAAAAACACAACAAAGCAGATACCAGAAAAAAACGGAAAATCACAGTAGTTGTATTTATTTTTTAAAATAAATTTATTCCTTCCCATAAACAAACTCCTGGCTCAGCTGCCTTTATTTTTGAATTCTGGCAGGCATTTAAGAAAGAAATAGCTTCAATCTTAGACAAACTCTTTCAGAGAATAAAAAACAAGGGAACAGCTTCCCTATCAATTTTGTGAGAGCAGCAAAATTTTGATTAATAAAAAATTACAGACCCACTTCTCTCATAGATATAGATGCAAAAATCTTAAATATCAGCAATTTTAGACATTTGAGATGACTGACTCTTTACAGTTTATTTTATAGCAAAATACCTGATCACAACATTCATCTGCTCCATAATGAGTATTACTTATCTACTGGTAAGTGTTGCTGCTCTTTTCTACCTTTTTTCTCATAGTATCTTTGTACCAAGGCTGAGTTAACAGGTTTTTATTACTCATTATTGAATGAGTTAGGTTTTTCTGGTACAGCTATTTGTAAGAAGTTTGGGGGAGGAGAGACCCAGAGGAGCCTTCCAGGCTACAACAAACAGTGTCTCTTCTCTCTGTCAAACCAGATACAGACTACTTCCTGCAAATAAAGCCACTCTTGTGTTATTACATACACCTGCTTCTTCTGAGTCTCTAAAACAATATGGTTCCAGGAGGGCTATTACTACCTGTCCTGCTTCCCTCAGATGCTATAAAAAAAAAAAACACTTCAAAAAAAGGACACAGCCCTTTACGTTAGGCCCCTCAGCTCCAAGAAGGGCATTTTCACTAGTGGTTTCTGAGAGCCTCTGCTACTAGACCTCCTCAACTCTCTATTCTTCCTCTCCCCATTTTCTCCCTCCTGGCTTTTGTCCAATTTCAGCCCTGCTCTTTCCAATTCCTGGCTACCCACATTCCTATAGCTAATCCCGGTTCCTGCCTTGACTGTAGTAAACAAGAGATATACACTCTCTGGTAAGACCTCTCACCTTTAAGAAATCACTTTTAAGGTGAGGAAACCCCTCATCCTTAAAGTGGCAGATTCCCAGAATCTGGGCCACAAATCCATCATCAACTTCCTCTTATGGGTAACTTCTCCTAGCTCTCAATTGCTTTGGGCTGCCTTTACATGGTAAAGGTAGTCTGTGGATTACGCCTGCCTTTACTTTTTCCAGAAATGGAGTTTGTAGTTGCTTTGCCCCCACTCTGCTTGTGATTTTTTGCAGAATTTCCTTGATACAAGCAAATATATTGAGAATTACCCTACCATATCCAAATCTTCTAGGACATTGGTTCTCATACTTTAATGTGAACACGACTCACCAAAGGATTTTGTTAAAATGCAAGTTCTAATTCAGTATGTCTGGGTGGGACATGAGATTCTGCATTTCTAAATGTTCCCAAATTGTGCTGATATTATTGCTCTATGAACCACACATATGATAGCAGGGCAATAAACTACTTAATGTAAAACAATGGCTTTTACTTTGCTTTTTTCTAAAGATTAATTTTTAAGTATACAACCTCCCACCCCTTAAAGAAGAAATAGGATAAATAACACTTATTGAGATAATCTTATGAAATCCCCATAATAACCCCACAAGATCAATACTTCTACTTTCACCATTTTATAGGTAAACAGAAGAAAGAGATTAAGTAACTTGCCCAAAATAAAGTACGTAGCAGAGCCAGGGATAAATCCCAGCATTCTGACTCTTGAGCCAGCTTTCATTACCCACTATATTATACTGCCTCCAAAGATTTGGTTAGTTTATCTAACTAAGCTAATTAAAACTAATACAATCATGTATCTGGCAGATTACTAAGAAAAACTTCAAATACTGGTTTATGCAACTCATTCAAACTTTACCATTCTTCCCTTAAATATTCACAGACTGAAAAGCCAAGATAAATATCTGATTTTTCTATTATCAAGTGATTTTATTAGCAAGATTAATCCCCCATAGGAAAATGCTCTTCCTTTACCACTGGAAAAAGTTATTAGCATTGAAATCAGGGTTTTATTTCAAAAGCCTATTCAATTAGGTAATTAGTGTCCACCTTTTTACTGAAATGACTCTTTAAAACTATGTTGAACAAAGTACTTAAATGATTTATTCTTAGCAATATATGACAGGTATACGGGACAGACTATCTCAGGTTTGTTGCTTTGGTTCCAAGAAAGAAAAGAAGCTGACAATAGCTATACATGGACAACTGAACAAATGATAAACCTTTTCCCCAGAAAGCATAATACAGATTACAAATACTGGCAATCAATCAATCAAAATAATCAGTATTTATTATGCTAAGATGTTTGTAAATAATAGCTTTACTTTCTCTCTATAGGGATTACACTACTGGTAAGAGATAGTAATAATTCAAAACTTAAGTTGTATCTCAAATGATTAACAATGACTTAAAAAGAACATATGAAGATTTTTTGTCTTAATTATTTCCAGCCTATAGCTAAGCAATTAGCTCTTCAATGCTACAAAAACCTCAATGTAATTCACAGAGTTTGAGATGGCACCTTTTCAGTAGTTTAAAATTTTATTCAAAATAAAATTTATTTTATAAGCTTCTGATAATTTCTAAATTGAACACATAAAGTAGTATTTTGCTCTTTAATCTCAGTGTAACAAATAATTATAATTATTTTTAATATACATAACAGCAAGGTTCATACTGTTTAAAAGGATTATGTAGTTACCCTCGGCTTAAGAGGTTTTACTGTTGGAATATCAGTTCCTTCGGCTCTCTGTCTGCTTGAATCAAAAGTCTTCCGTTTTTTAGTAGCAGTTTTCTGGCAAATAGGTCCATGCTTTTTCTGTTAAGATGAAGAAATGCAACATATCATTTTCTATTCTACAGAAGGGAAAACTATAAAACTTTATTTAAATTAAGACCAATTTAAAAACCTAGATCAATTTAAAAATCTGAAGACCATTACACAAAAATTATAGGAAGCCATTGTTTTGGACTAAGCTCCTGCAGTAGGCCCCCCAAAAACCAGACTAAAAACCAAACTGAAGTCATTCATACTAAAGACCCAAGTCACCAAACTGAACCTAAGTTGTTATCTGGCCTTCCCAGAAATCTGGAAAGAGAGATAGCCAAATTTCCCAAACAAGCCAGTTTTAATAGACATGATAATAAAGTTCCCTCTACCTTTAATCCTCATAACAAAAGTAACCTGATGTTAACAATCAGTTATTTTTTTATTGTTCTTTTTCCCTGTTCCCGCCTTACAAGAAACTAACTTGAAAATGAACAATCCACTTTTTGTTCTTCATTTCTGCTTTCTTCAGCTCTTTTCTGGCTATAAAACTAACTACCTCTGCTTAGCTCACTGGAACATTTATTCCATTTTATGGAATGAAGTGCTGCCAGATTCTAGAATCACGAATAAAACCAATTAAGATCTTTAAACTAAATTGTTGTAGTCTTTTTACAAAACAAAATAAATAATAACTGCCTTGTGTTGAATGTCCCCCACAAAATTAGTCCCCACTGCTACAGTGTAAAGAGGGTGGGGAGTCCTATTATAGTAATTGAAAAGTAGGGCCTTCGAGAGGTGATTAGATTGTAGGACTGTGCTGTAGTGAATGGATTAATAATGGTGGTCAAGGGTGTGGTTCTGAGAGCTTTAAAAGAAGAGCACATGAGAAGTTCTCTCTTGCTCTGCTCCACCATTTTCTGCCATGTGAGACCCTGGGTAACTGTTGCCACTACCAAGACTTTCACCAGATGTGTTCCCTTGGCTTTGGACTTCCCAGCCTCCAAAACTAGAAAGAATAAGTTTTGTTTTCTTATAAATTACCCAGTTCCAGGTACTTCGTTATAAGCAACAGAAATGACTAATACAATAGTAAATAAATAAGAAACACCTTGCCTTAAATAAAATTAGGTTTTAAAACATATATATGATACGTGGTATAAGTTTTCTCACAAGAAATTACAAAGAAATATTCTTCCAAAACTTTATTAAGGATTATTTAATATTCTTCTCCTAGTTTTCGCATGGCTAAGAATAAGGAAAATAATGTAACCAAGTCAAAGCTTCTTGAGTAAAAAAGAAAAGTTTTCACTAAATACATGAACATAGATATTAGGAAAAATATATATAAATGGAGAAGAATGCACTAGTGATAGGATTACAAAAGTTAAAATAAAAGTAGTAGTTTGGATTACTAAAGTTAATAGTGTGTTAATATAACATTAACACAAAATAGGAAGGCAAAGTGGTCAGACTTGGGTCTTTTCCCCCACAATTATCCCTTTCCTCCCTTCTGGAACTCAAACTTTCTTTCTTCACCTAGGATTTTTCTTGAGCTAATGTTCCACTCATAGGGTTTTGTTTTGTTTTTTTATAGTTGCCAACTCATTTATTCATTTTAAGGACATTATAATGTCCTTCTAATTAACCAATTGGATAAATATTCTTCCTCCACTATATAAAGCACGCTGACTGATGACATGAGAGCACTAAATGCACTGTTTTTCTTTTGATAAACATTGAAGAAGCTGGAACTCCTAAAACTTTATCTAGGAAAAAAGAAAACCTCAGTTTATTTGGTGCCATGGAACCTCTGAGCTTTCAGTACACAATTAGTAAACAACTGTTTAATATGCTTGTTTTCAGTTTTCATTTCAACAAACAAGCAATATTACTATAGCAATTGAAATAAAAACTCTTAAGTATAATAACAACAAAAAAATGAGGCCAGCAAGTGACTTTCTGGTAGACTGATGTATGCCTGTTCCCATAAATTGTGTTTTACATGTCAAGGGCATGTGGTGCTTGTTTCTAAAACTGATTATACAAGTTTTAGTTGTTACAGTGATAACATCATTTAAGTATTACATAAATAAATTGGAGCAAAAAAGGCATTTTTTTGCCTGTGAAAACTTGTCTGAATGCTCTGAATATACTTTGAAAAATAATGAATTGATAAGGAAGAAAAAATTACTAAATGTGTACGCAAGACGTTTTCAAAGGATTACAAAAAAGCCATCATTATTTAAAAAGCACCTGAAGACAGAAGGACACTTTGGATCATTAATTCCTCACTTACCATTAAAGACACCAACTGGAAATAGCAATATGGTGCACAGAAGATTGTGACAGAACTCTAATCAGCAGATCCATAATTCTTTGTACTAACTCAAAGTATTAATAAATGTATATTTATGTTTGAATTTAAAATATTTAATGTGCATAGGCATGATTTTTCTTATTCACTATCTAGCTGCCTAATTTTTATTAAGATCAGTTAAAAGTGCTTCTGTCTGTATATATCAAGTACTAAAAGAATGCATAATATATTTTAGGTATATTTTTATACTGAAAAAACAAAACAAAAACTTTTTCTTTGGAATATTTCAAATGAACACAAGAGTTGAGAAAATGATATAATGAATTCCCACTTACTCATCACCCTGCTTCAACAATTACAAAGATTTTAGCAATTTTGTCTCATCTATTCCTGCTTTCTTTCCTGAAATACTTTAAAGCAAATCCCAGACATCATAACATTTTGTATTTGCAAATACATTGTTTTGTATTTCTAAAAGGTATTTTCTTTTGTTTCTGTGATTTTGTTTGTTTTTGGTAATATTCCCACAAAGCTAGGTATAATTTAACACTTTAATAAAATTGTTCTGAAGACCAATCAAACTATAAAGGAAAGAGAGCACTCTAGAAGAATGACATAGATAGAACCAAGGCTTTTGAACAAAAAACACTACCTAGTATCTCTTCAAAAATTATTCCACACAAGTTGTTCTGAAGTATTATGCAATTACAGATCTATTAAACCCCAAAGGAAAAAGGTACAGGATCAATCTACTCACTAATGCTACTGGAAAGAATGTTCTTCCACAAATCTTGCAAGGTAACAATTCTCCAACTTGGACAACACTTCCATTTTCTAAAACAGAAAAGAATTTAACAAATATTTCTATAGCTTAAATTGTGAAACTTCAAATTTTAATTTTTATCTTTAAAGTTTTTCTTAATTTCATAGATAAATTTTAGTTTCATAGGTAAGTTGTCAATTCTTGTGGAAAATGTCTTGTTTCACTTGGAAATAAGCAAAATTATCAACAAAAATGAGCAACAAAAATGAGTTATCAGTGGTCAAAAAGGCCATGATAAATGTGAGTTATGATTTAAGAGTAACCAAACTGATATTGTTGAAATATCTAGTTTTCTTGTAATTACTTTAACCAAATCAATTCGTCATAGTCTCTTAACTTATAGGCTATCTCTATTGTAAATTACAGGTTGAGTGTCCCTCATCCAAAATGCTTGGGCCCAGAAGTGTTTCAGATTTTGGGATATTTGCAGAGTGCACACCAACGGAGCATCCCTAACCTGAAAATCTAAAATTCTAAATGCTTCAATGAGCATTTCCTTTGAGCATTATGTTGGTGCTCAAAAAGTTTCAAATTTTGGAGCATTTCTGATTTCACATTTTCGGAGTAGGGATGCTCAAGCTGTAACAAACTTTAAAAAACAAATTTATTGTATTAATCTCCAAGGTGTGAAGAAATACCATTGGTGATCAGTTAAGTGACTTCCTTAGATGATCTAGGGAGTCTAGAATAAAAAGAATCTTGTTCTATTTATCACCAAACAATAGAAAGTACAACACTCTAAGGATAAGATCACCTAATTATGCAAAATGCATGTATTATATGAATTGTTCATTATTTTATACATATAAAACATATATTAAGATTCACCAGAAAATTGAGATATTCTGACCTCATGAGCATAATTCATTAAATAATGAAGAGGTGATTATGACTTTCACTCAATTAAAATTAATATATCCATTATGTGCCTGGATACAATACATTTTATTACTAAAATGTTTTTTTTTTTTTTTAACCTACATTCTTTGGGATTCTACATAACTTAGACAATTTATTTTCTAGTCAAATATCAAATTTATTTCCACATTTGTAATTTTCTCAGAATGATACTTGAACCAGTAACATAGTTCCTATATTTTCTGCTGAATACTTGACTTTTAAAATTTTTTATCATATGGAAGACAAACTGAAAAACATTTTCCTTTTGAAGTAACATATACAAAGTTATGGAAAAAAGTACAATTACAACTCCATATAATCTGTTCCAAGAGACTAATATATATATTAATCAGGTGAACCAAAACAGACATCAGTGAGAATACATTCAAATACATTTAACAGAAGAACTGTTTTGTTTTCTCTTTCTCCTAGTACTCCACTGTCCTATTTTACTGGTAGACAGTGGCTATTTATCATCTCAGATGGAGGCAATGTCTGCATAGTGTCAGTTAAGCAATGAACACTACAAGAGCAAAGCTAAGATTTGACTGATTTGCCTTCTCCAGTGCCAGGGGCTACGTTATTTAGGGAGAACAATCTCATTTATCCAGATCACTTAATTTCAATAACAATCCAGAAAGCTGAGGTAGTTGCTAGATGGTATCTATTAGGTTCATTAAGACATAATGTCTTCAAAACAATGGTCAAAGTAACACTGCATACTGAATATATTAAGCTTGTTTATAGTTTTCATGTATATCTTTAAATACTAAGCAACAATTTAAAATTTCATCAATACAAAACGTTAAAAAGTATCACATATCTTACTTGCTTAAAAGTATATTTCAATACCTACTTGTCAAGCAGACGACAAAGTAAAATCTTACAAAAATTACCCACTGAGTAAAATCAATCAAACACATGGAAATAATCTGATTGCCTACTTGAGCACCTACTACTTGCCATGCTTGTACCAAGTAAAAGCAACACAAGGGTGGAATAACACAAGCACTGCTCTCATAAAGCTAATACAATCTATATAATTTACTTATTCAATATACCTAAGAATTCCCGCTTTTTATACTAAAACAATAGCAACCAGAATATTACCACTTGGAATGAAATCCAATTCTTGGTATTAATTTGCACAAGTTATCAACATGTTTAAAATGTTTTCAAAGGAAAAGAACATCACTAAAAGGCATTTTTTAAAAAAAGAAAAAACATCATTAAAAATGCATTTAAAAGCAAGTATCTCAATAAAAAGAAAAACCTTTTAAAATACGAAAGCCATTTCATTCAAAATACATAAAGATATATATTGTATATATGCATATATGAATTTATAATTTTCTTTTTTATTAGCTGGTCACAGAGCATAGTCCTACAATTCACAAAATATGGCATGTGTATATGTGTTGATGTCAAGATCTACTGAGGAAACTTCTACCAAAGGGTCATGAAAAATAGCTGAAGCCGTACAGACAAAAGCCATATTTTGTTCCAAAGGTATTTACTAAAAGACATGACAGAGTAGTTAAAAAACAAAACAAACAAAAAAACAACCACTAGAATTCGTCTTATATTATCTAACTTCAAGTCCCAGCTCTGTCACTGAGAACTATGTAACCCTGGGCAAGATATTTAACCTTTCTAAGGGTCAGATTTCTCTTCTATAAAATAAGGAAAATAGGTTAAATAACATATGTGGCCCCTTCTATCTGTAATATACTATAATTTAACAAAATCCACCTTAACACCACATTAGCAAGAAAAATATATGGATAATAGGACATCTTTCTTATAGGTTATATTTTTAAAAAGTTTATTATATATAAGAATGGTTAAACCAATTGCAGATGGTGGAATGAATACTTCAGGTAGTACGTACTATGTTAAAGAAATCAATCACTCCACCTGTCTACAAAGAAAACTGAGAATCTGAAAGGACCTATACAAAGAACATGATGTCTCTCTCATTGGAAAGGTCTCTACTACATAAGTTATAAGAAAATGTATGACTAATGATATAGGTAGACTCAGTTAAATGAGGATAATATCTGCTTAATTAACCTTAAAATTTGAGAGGATTGACTAAGATGTCACATAAAAAATTTTTACATATAAAAATGCTTTGCAACCTATACAAATAAAAAGTACAACTTTCCAAAGCAAGCAGGCAAACTCTACCAATCTCTCCTGAGTGGCTAAAACTAGCAAATTTGCAGCTCAGAAAAATACAGTAGAGAGATGATATTTAAGGGGTGAATACTGTAGCAGAGAGCAAACACTGTTGAAAGGGGCACTCAAACTGTTGGACAGAACCAAATCAATAAAGTACTTTAACATCCTGGAACTCTTGAAAAACCAATCTCTCCTCACAAAATTTATCCCGCATGCACTGTTGATTCTGTTATGAGTTGTTATATTTAGCAACCTCAAAACCTGCACAATCATAAGGCCTGGAAGAGTACCTTTATATAATACTATTATACAAGGGGTCTTCAAAAAGTTCATGGAAAGATTTGTATTATTTTTTAATTCTATTTTTCACGCATGTTTTGAAGTACTCTTGTATTCTATCATGGCTCATATGAATCTAAACCATAACACTCAATAAACCTCTCTTTTGAAGCATATAACATGTTACACCATTTTCTCCCACGATCCTTTCCAAAAATTACTTTCATATCAACAATCTCCACTATCTCACAAGATTTCTCTTTTTCAGCTCATCCTAAGCCACTCCAACACAGAAACTTCACTCTTCACTCCATTCTAGTTAGTCATCTGTACTCTAGTTCAGCAAAAACGATTATGAAAACAACTTAGAAAGTTGTACTCTGGACTCTTAAAATATTCAAGCTCGCTCTCTAACCACAGACTTCTACCTATCCCAAAGTCACTTTCTTGATCTCAGAGTAACTTGCATTTTCCTAATAAGCCCATTCTTGGCTACACCACCCTTCCTACCCAGTCTGAATATGACCAGTTATTCCCACTATTTTCACTAATCACCCTCAAATCCCTTGCTGTATGGTCAAATGTTTGGAAAATGCTAGATTAAACAAAGTTAAATGGGTTTTCTTACAGCAGAACTTCCTTGATCTTAAAAAAGAGACTTAGTATGCTGTTATTTCCCCAAACTTCATCAGCAATCCTTCCTATCCACAAGAGATATGTAGTACAAGTGTCTTGACTAGCATGTTTTTTCCAACACTGACTTACATTTTCTGCTTAGTCCCTCCCTACATCTCATTCACTCCCAATGTGAATTCCAGGCAGACTTTATTAGGCCTAATCACTATATTAAAATAGATCCATTTGTTGATTCAACAAGTATTTGTTGAGTACCTAGCATGAGAGAGAAACTGTTCTAGGAAGCAGGAATACAGGGATGAAAAAAATAAAGACCCAGATCTTATGGAACTTCTACTCTTCTAATAGAGAAAGCGATAAACAAAAACAATTAAATATATAAAATGTGGGGTAGTGATAAGCATAATGAAGCAAGAACAGTAAGGGAAGAGAAGAGAGTCATAAAGCTGTCTTTGGAAAGTGGGTAGGATCAGGCAAAGCAGCTTTAAAAAGGAGACTTTAGAGTCAAGACCTTAAGAAATGGAGATAACTGATCACTACTAACCTACTAATTGTCAAATATGAAGCACTCTTTGTTTTATCTTTTACTTTTTAAATTTTATTTTATCAATATACAATGTAGTTGATATCCATGTCCCTTTACCAATTCTTCTTTCCCTCCTGAATCAAAATCATATCTGTTCACTTGCCTTAACAAGTTCAAGGAAATGTTGTGATTGTTGTGTCCTCCCCCATTTGTTTGTTTATTTATTTATTTTTAGCTCCAACAAATACTTGAGAAAATGCAGTATTTCTCTTTCTGTGCCTGGCTTATTTCACTTAATATAATTTTCACTAAGTCCATCCACATTGGTGCAAATAGTAGTATTTCATTCTTTTTTATAGCAGAGTAACAATCCATTGTGTAGATATACCACAGTTTCCTTATCCACTCATCTGATGATGGACATATGGGCTGGTTCCAACTCTTGGCTACTGTAAATAGTGCTGCGATAAACATGGGAGTACAGGTATCCCTTCAACATGATGATTTACATTCCTCTGGGTATATTCCCAGCAGTAGAATAGCTGGGTTATATGGTAGATCTATCTGTTATTGTTTGAGGAACCTACATAGCATTTTCCACAACGCCTGCACCATTCTGCAGTCCTACCAACAATGTATGAGAGTCCGTTTTTCTCCACCACCTCACCAGCATTTATCATTCTCAGTCTTTTGGATATTAGCCATCCTAACTGGAGTGAGATGGTATCTCAAAGTGGTTTTGATTTGCATTTCCCAGATGTGGAGTGATGTTGAGCATTTTTTCGTGTGTCTGTTGGCCGTTCATATATCTTCCCTTGAGAAATGCCCATTCAGCTCCTTTGTCCATTTTTTAATTGGGTTACTTGTTTTCTTGCTGTAAAGTTGTTTGAGTTCCTTGTATATTCTGGATATTAATCCTTTGTCAGATGTATAGTTTGCAAATATATTCTCCCACTCTGCTGGTTGCCTTTTCACTCTGTTAATTGCTTCTTTTGCTGTGCAGAAACTTTTCAGTTTGATATAATCCCATTTGTTTATTTTTCCTTTGGCTGCCTGTGCTTTTGGAGTCATATTCATAGTCTGTACCCAGTCCTACTTCCTGGAGTGTTTCCCCTATAAATGGTCCTGGGAAAATTGGATATTCATATGTAGGAGAATGAAACTAGACCTGTGCCTCTCACTATATACCAAAATCAACTCAAAATGGATTAAAGAATTAAATATACATCCTGTAACAATAAAACTCCTTGAAGCACTGTTTAGAATCCTCATCCTCCTGGACCTTTCTACAGCATGAAGCAATGCTGATAAATCACTTCTACCGTTAAAGTCCTTCCTCTCTTGCCTTCAATGATATTCCTTTCTCTGAAGCCCAAGTTTTCCAGATCTCACAAGCTAAGGAGAGTTTGACCTGGTTAGTATTTATACTGCCTAGGAACACCAGGTGCCATCAGCTTTTTCAGGCACATATTTACTACTCAATAAGTATTAATTTCTTAATATTTTTAAACCTTCTTAAAGACTCCCCATGCCAATTTCCTTTCCTGCTTGCTATGGTTTGGATGTGTCCCCAAAGTTCAGGTGCTGGAAACTTAATTCCCAATGCAACAGTATTGAGAGGTGGAACCTTTAAGATATTAATACCATTATCAAAGGAGTGGGTTCCTGATAAAAAGGGTGAGTTCAGGTGACTTTCTCCTTCTGTCTCTCTCTCTCTCTCTCATGTGTGCTCTCTTGCCCTTCTACCTTCCACCACAAGATGACACAGCAAGAAGGACATAGCAAGATGGTCCTCACCAGATGCAAGTCTCTCAACCTTGGACTTCCCAGCCTCCAGAACTGTAAGAAATAAATTCCTGTCCTTTATAAATTACTCTATCTGTGGTATTCTATTACAACAAAACAAAGTAAGACACTGTTCAACCGTAAAGCATTAGTTTCTCCCAAATTTCTTTCCTCAATTTGTTATATACATTTTGCCTGGGTGATTGCATCCATTTGATGTCACTTACATGCTGATAACTACAAAACTGAAAGCTCCAAGTGAATATTTACAAGTACATATGAGACTTTTCTACCAGTTACCCTCGAGGACTGTACAAACACATTTCTAAAGCCAAACTCATTACCTCATCCCCCAAACTTGGTTGTCTTCTCAGTGGTATCACTTCTTAGTGGTATTACTTCCTAGTCTAAGCTAAAAAGATGCTTTCTCTTTGACTCCTTTTCCCTCTCACATGCAGCAGTCATATCTCATCTTTCCATCTCAGAAATATCTTATAAATCTATCTTGCCTTTTTAGTTCCTGCTACCTTTGTCTTAGTTCAAATCCTCATCACAT